GGCTTGCCTAGGAGAGGTGGTTCTCTTGGCCTGAGAAGTTTGAGCTAAGCAGGTAGGGGTGGCTGAGGATTTGCAGAGGGGAGATCCGGCCTCCCTGTGAAATCTGCGCTGGCTTCTGCTCTTTCCACAGGGCTATTTACCTGAAGCCCCAGGACCAACATTGATTCCACACCTGGGCTGTACCTGAGGAAGCAAGTTACAATGGACACAAGGTGGGTCTGGATGTGGAGCAAGGGCTGGGCGGGGGTGGGTGGGTGGTGGGCAGCATCCACTGTTGCAGCACCGGGCCCTGGCTCACACTGACCTCACTTCAGTCTCAGGGCTCTCTGCCCCATGCTGTGGAGTCCAGGCCTAATGCAACACTGCCAGGGACTGTTTGATGACCTTGGGCAAAAGCCATTCTCTCCTTGGACCTCTTGTTCCTGTCTCTACCATGAGGGGTCATCTGGACCTGTCTCCTATGATCCAAAGGAGACCTGACCTTTGTGTGCATCCTGTCTGGGCCTCGGTTAGCTCGTCTCTCAATGTGGACCTAAACGGAGGAGCCCAGAAGAGGTGTGCGGTGGTGCTTCTTGCTTGGTCCCCACAGCAGTCTCTGAACTAGGCTGGGTCAGGGCTAGTGGCCCATCCCACAGATGGGACAGTTCATGGGGCTTCTGGGGAACTGTGTGGGACTGAATGGAGCACCAGACTTGTGTGTCCTGCGAGTTGGGAGGAGAGGAAGAGTCCTCAGAGCAAGCCCTCCTGAGGATGCAGGCGCCGTGGAGTCTGTCGGAGAAAGGGGTGTCCCCCCGGGACACCTGGTCATAAGAACTCATTGCCTTGGAGCCGGGGGTCTCAGCCCAAGATATGGTCCTGCAGAAAATCCAGGAGCTCTCTGACTCAGTAAGGAAGGCTGGGGAGAGAGGGAGCAGAGGGAGGGGTGGGTGAGGTGGGAGGGTAGGGGGAGAACATAAGGGAGAGAGGTCCTTTCTTTGGGGGACAAGAAATAAGACTTTGTGTTAAACAGTTTTCCAAGTCCCTTTGACAAAGACTTATTTCAAACCTCCATCTGGGTGGCTGGGGGAATGCTCCTGCCGGGACCTCCCATACCTTCCCTCACCACTTGGGATTTGGCCAGGACCAAGCTGCCAAGCAAGAGAGAGGCGAGGTTCTGGCCTCCAGCGCTGACCTACAGGTGAAACTGCCTGCTTGGCCCCCTGGGTTCAGACTTGGGAGGCCTGCGCTCCCATGTGCCTTTGCATTAGCCTTGTGGAAAGGCTTCCCCTTTCCCTGTCCACCTGTCTCTGCCTTTAGAACCACCATAGCTGTCTTCATAGACCTGTTGAGGGGACTGAGTGGGGTACCCCTCAGCAGCCCTGCCACAGGCCTCTCTGTCTCGGCAGGATCACCACGATCCCTTTATGGTGGCCGGTCTGGGCATGCTGGCCAGCAGCCATCAGACTTTCCTCCAAAACCTGCCACGGGCCTCTCCCTTCTACGCCTTGAAGTGCCACAGCAGCCCCTGGGTGCTGCGTGTCCTGGCCGCCCTGGGCACTGGCTTCGACTGTGCCAGCCAGGTGAGCCGTATCAACTGCCAACGGCCTCCTGCGTGGGCCTGGCTTACCCAGAGCAGAGGCCAGTGGCCAGGAGCCAAGTGGCAGGGCTTGCCATACCGGCAGCACTGTGTGGCGGCCTGTGCTCAGCAGGTCGTTTCTTTTGAACGAATGAATGAACTCTCTTGCCTACCCTCCCATTAGTCCACGTGACTAGGGCAGACAGCCTGGGGCCGTGAATGGAAAGCGCATGTACTTCAAGCCATAGATGTTCCTGTCCTGACACAGTCAGTTCTGGTTCGTTGGGGGCGGGGGGCCCAGTTTCTCCCTCTTGAAGATGGAGCCAACTATATTTATCCTACAGGAGTCCAGAAGACGACACAGCTCAATCTATACTCAGCGCTCTGTCAGGGCCAGCCCTTCGGACTGTGCCCAGAGCTCTTGTACCCTAAGGGTAGGGGAGGCAGGGGGCAGATCCAAAGCCTGGCTTTCTTCCACGTCAGGTGGAGCTGGAGCAGGTGCTGGGCCAGGGGGTGGCCCCCTCACGCATCGTCTACGTCAACCCCTGCAAGCTCGTCTCCCACATCCAGTACGCTGCCCGCCGGGGAGTGCTGCTGATGACCTTTGACAGCCAGGAGGAGCTGGTCAAGGTGGCCCAACACCACCCAGGGGCCAGGTGAGACTGTCGTGGGGCAGGGGCAGCAGGCTGGGCTCTGGGAGATGGAGTTGGGCCTTAGGAACCAGAGAGGCTGTAGGAGAAGCCCAGCAGCCCCGTGTGAGAATCCAGGTCAATGGCCAACACCTTTCTTGGTGCCTAAAATTAACTTTGTCCCCAGCCCCACTGGCAATAACCGAACCTGGCGGCAGGAGACATCACAGAAAGCACGCACATTGGAGTCCCAGCGGCAGGGCTCACAGAGACAGTCCCTGCCACATCTGTGTGGTCATGCTCTTGGGAAAGTATTTGACATCTCGGATCCTGTCGCAGGAAGGGAGGTGGGAAGTGTTCATGAATGTATTCTTACCCAGCTTCCCCTGGTTGGCTGAACGCTGGAGGAGGGGCCTGTGCTCATGGCTTGAACCCCAGAGGCCGGGCAGCCTAGAGCAGCTAGGCAGGGAGAGTGGGCTGGTGGGCAGTAAAGCAGCCAGGCCTAGGTGTCCCTGCACCTCAGCCCTCCCTTCGGGCCTTTCTGCTCCCTCCCCAGACTGCTCCTGCAGCTGCAGACCAGGATAGCAGGAGCAACTTCCCCCTGAGTAGCAAGTTCGGGGCCAGCCTGGAGGCATGTGTGCACCTGCTGACATTTGCTAAAGACCTGGGGCTGGATGTGGTTGGAGCCAGGTGAGTGAGCATGGTTCTCCAGACAGAGGGGCAGGAGTCCTGGCTTCTCCCCTTTCCTCCCGTGAGCCTCCCGGGGCTCCAGGAGTTTCCATCTGTCTGCAGACCCAGAGGTTGGGTGTTACCCTGGCCCAGGTCAAAGCCATCGAGGCACTGGCCTCTGGTGCATAATTAAAGAGACCCTAAGCCTTAGTCCTCGTGATAAAAAGTCTTTCAGAACTAATGACACCTCAGTGAACAACCTTTTGTAGAGAAGTTTGTTGTTTTGTTGGAGGATGGGGAAATGTGCACCCTGTTCAGCACTGTCGGCCCCCCTTTTCTCCCATGACCGCCTGCTTCTCCCAGTTACGAGCTGTTTCTCCTAGGCTAGCAGCCACATTTCGGTGGCACCTTTGCTACAAGCATCATCAGGTGCTGGCTTGTCACTTTCATGCCGTTGGTACCGACTGCTAGTGACCGCTTGCACACCAGAAGGAAAGACTGGCCAGCCTGGCACCACCCTCACTGCCACTGCCATGTTTGGGTCCGTTGTCACAGCCCCTGTGTCAGTGTTGCCCTGGGAACAGGTCCCGGTACATGGTTATTCACTAACGCCCGCCATGCCTGTTAGTGCTCCCTCACTGTGTTACCTGGCCCTACTGTTTTTGACAAATGGCCTTTCCCACCTTTCCAGAGCATGTAGCCTAGTCCCACCTGTACCAAACTGCCCTGCATTCCACCTGCTCTCCCCTCACTCCCCTGCCACACACACAGGCCCTATGAGTCCTTGGCAACCACTGGTCTCTTCACTGCCTGATGCCGTAGACGCGGCGTCAGACAGACCAGCTTCTTGCCCTTCACAGTTGGCACTTCACGTCCCCGTCTGTGTGTGTCGGTGGCGGGAGAGTTCAATTCTGCTTCCCACCGGCTGAGGCTCCTGTGTGGTGGACCACTGCCTGGTTTTCTGTGGATGGACATCTTGCGTCGTGGCTTCTGGTTTAGAACAACTTGGAATAAAGCTATGGAAGTTGGCGTGTAGGCTTCACGTGGGTGGGTTATTATTATTATTATTATTATTATTTTCAATATACGTGTTCCGCTCGCTTGGGTAAAGACGCAGGGCTTCAGGAAGCCCCATGCTCTGCTCCTCCCACTTCCTCGTGGACTTTTCGCTGCTCCCTCCCACCTAGGAGGGCAATGGCTGGCTCTTATGGTAAGCGGATAGGGCTCCAGAAGATGGCAGGGTCATTTTTCGTTCTAAACTTCAGCATTAGTGCCCCAAGCCAAGAAAAAGTGTCATGTTTCTAACTCAAGGTGTCCGTGGAGTCACTGCCTTGTCCTTTTGTCCTGGTCTCCAGGACGGCCTGGGTGGTTGACGGCTATTTCAGGCGCGTGTGCTCTGCTGTCAGATGGCTGCACGCTCGCTCGTGATGACGTAGAGAGCAGGCGGCACACTGGCCCTTTCTCGCCCGCTTCACCCCGGGCTCGAGAGGGGAGGGCCTCGCTCACCCGGCCCCCACTCTGGCCCCCCGCTCAGAGGCAGAGGGATGTGGGGATCTGAGAGGCGAAGGGGACTCCCCCCAGTCCCCCAGTGGAAACATGAGGAGGGACAGCTAGGAGAGGTAGCAGACACACAAGCACGAGCCCCGCGGGGGAGTGTGTCTCATGTAGAATGTGTCTCACGTGGAATGCATGTGCGTCTGCGTGTCACGGGGCTCATGTGCAGAGGGTGACATGTGCACGAGTGTCTGCACCTGTTTGTCTCCATGCAGCACCTGTGTCTGTGCACCCCCGGGGGGGCAAGGGGTGGGTTCTCAGCGCACCATCTCTTTACACTGACCTTGCCTTCCTCGCATGCTTCTCCCTGTTACTCGTCCGTCCCCCCTGCGCCAGCTTCCAAGTGGGCTCCGCCTGCCAGGCAGCCAAGAGCTACGCCCTGGCCATCGCCGACAGCCAACACGTGTTTGAGATGGGCCGCAGGGCCGGCCACCTCATGGGCCTCCTGGACATCGGAGGGGGCTTTCCCGGAGTGGAGGGCTCTGAGCCCACGTTTGAGGAGGTGAGAAGCCCCACCCTAGGGAGAAGCAAGGAGAACTGGTGTCCCAGCCCATGTTTAGGGGGAAGTGTGGGTTCACAGTGGGAGGGGGTACAAGGAGCCCCTGTGACTGTGAGTCTGTGGGTCTCTGTGAACCAACTCTCCAGATGTGTCCCTTGCAATGTCTGAGCAAGGGCATGGCTCCGGCTGCACATCTGTCTCTAGACATGAGGGTGGTTCACCCCGCTTAAGCTGCAGTCAGGGAGACGTGTGCTGTCCCCCGGACCCAGGAAATACTCCATCTCAGCCCACCGTGCATCCGAGGGAACAGTTCCCAAATCAGACAGTGTAGGGTGTTACGGTCGGCACACCTGCAGTGTGGCCTCGGGCAAGTTCCTTCCCCTCTGGGGATCACAGTTTTGCCTCAGTTCTTTCTTCCATATGACGGGGGTGATCACGCCCAGATGAATGGTGACGTGCCCGCCCTGCCCGGATGCACATCCAGAGCTGGGTCTGACCCTGTCTCCACAGATGGCGAGGGCCATCAACTCAGCCCTGGCCCGAGACTTCCCCGAGGGAAGTGGAGTTGAGGTCATCGTGGAGCCTGGCCGCTGTCAAACATCAGCAAGAAGGATGTGCTGGAGCGGGGTGGGTGCGGGCCACTGGCCTAGGCAGGAGCATGTTACAGCTGCTGTTCTGTTGTTCTCAAGCAGATGGGGGCCGGGACGGGTAGAGAGCCAGGACCGAGGCCCTTCCTCTTCCTGAGTAGGCAGGGACTCCTTAAGGGACTGGGCTGCTAAACAGCAGGCCGGCAGTTCAAAGCCACCAGCCGCTCTCCGGGAGAAAGGTGAGGCTTTCTACTCCCATAGTTAGTCTCGGAAACCCACAGGGGCAGTTCGCCCCTGTCCTCTAGGGTGCTGTGAGCCGGGATTGAGTTGATGTTGTGAGTTCGGTGACCCTGTTCCCCATTTATGGTGGTGTTGCCACAGAATGCCACCCTTAGCTCACTCTGCCACCTCCCCCCATGGGGGAGTGCTCTGGTTCACTAGCATGCACACTCCTTTCCGCAAGCATGTTCTAACCCCAAATGGATCCAACTCACAGCAGCCCCGTAGGACAGAGTAGAACTCACTCCGTGGGCTTCCCAAGCTGTCATACTTGACAGCAGGGCGCGGCCACGTCTTGCTCCCGCAGAGCCGCTGGAGGATTCTAACTGCCGGCCTTTGAGCTAGCAGTCAAGCGCGTAGCCACCATGCCACCAAGCCTTTTTGAGCAGATACAAACTCAAATGTGAAGTACATTCCCATTGGTGCAGTAGCTACGCAAAGGCAGTGTGGCAGCGCTCATGGCCTCGAGGCTCCAACTAACATCCATAGAGCCGGCGTGAACCTTCAGCCCACAGGGGCCGGCCAGCCCTGCAGAGCGTTTCCTTAGTGTGCTGGTGATGTGGGGGTGGGGGTAGGGGGTCCACACACAGCGGGTAAACAGATTGTGGCAGCCGGGCAGGCCTGCCCTGGGAGCTGTTTAAAGGAACTATTGGATCGGCTGGATGATGCCAGTCCATCTAGCCTACAGGATTGACGCTCTGATTTTGATGGCTGTATGATAACTGATACGTTTCCATAGATCATTATGATAACTGATATGTTTCCATAGATCATTATGATAACTGATATGTTTCCATAGGTCATTATGATAACTGATACGTTTCCATAG